TCAATATATAATAATTAATATCAATATATATATTTATCAATATACTTAATATCAATGTATACTACGAATTCTATTTTTAACATATACCAGGAAGACATAAAAAAAAAAGGCAGAAATTAGATGCTAGGTCATAATTAAAAAAAAAAAAATTAAACCATACAGACTTGATTCTCTAAAATGCAGGTGAAACCAAGCAGGGCAGAAATCAGCCTAAACCATATCCATATATGATGTCATGGAGAGAAGTGGTCTTGTATTCTCTGTCCTGATGGTAATTGAATTTGCAAAAAGCTATGGATTAGTTGGTTTTTATCCGCATTGTAGATACACACGACTGAAGTGATTTTTCACTCTAGACAATATTTGATCGAAAGAATTGATTATAGCCCACAAGGGACACGATTTAAGACAGAATAGATATTGAGATTAAAGGGGACTAGGTTAAAGATCGAGCGGGGGCGGGAGATATAGGCTTGGGGATCTGGCATCGCTCCAAAGCACCTCCCCAATCTGCTCCAGATTTATAAACTCACCCCCTCGGTGGTTCAATGTCTCACACTGGCTAGTTACGATATCTAATTGCTATCCTTATTATACATCGCATTGTTATCCAAAAAAAACTGGCTCATTAAATAATCACCTTTATATACTAGGTGTTTCAGGGATAAGTGGCAAAACTGAAAATATGAATTAAGGACCTCAAAACAAGAAAAAAAATACGTATGAAGCTATGTCCGCAAACGCTTTGTTTAGGAGATATTCACACCTAAAGAATTTCATTGTTATGAATTATTTATGTTATATTAAGTAAATAAAACTTATTCATCTGTTCCAACTAATTTATTAGTTAAACATAAACATTAAATTCATATTAAATGTTGTTAAAAATAATTTCCTTGAGCATTGTAACGTTCCTTTAAACGTTAACTTAATGTTAAAATTATAATCAAGAAGGGCTTAACCAGTGGAGGGGGAGTGAGTTCTTCTTACTGACTATTTCTTCAGGTGATATTAAATAAGTGATAACATCTCCATTATAAGCCAATCTATTTAGAACATGAACAACTTAAGCCAAAATACTGAACAAAATTTCTCACAATATAATCAAAACAATGCTCTCAGTCTTATCTCACACTCTCCAACCGTATAACCTCCCTTAAAAACAAAACTAATAAATCTAATCTAATCACAACACCTGTTATTTCAAATTCTGTCATTTAACCCTTTTGTCAATTGTGAAAGCATTAAGACAGGCTCGGTATCTTTCTTCAACAGCAGCAGTGGCAGAAAATTCAATTATCCTTCTTCGTAAGGAATTAAGGTCATTGACTGGATTTGCACAGACTCTTTGTTTAATGTAACCCCAAACAAAAAAATTCAGTGGTGTCCGGTCTGGGGGGCGTGCAGGCCAAGACACTGATACTATACGGCCAGTTTCTCTAAGACGTTGAAACGTGGAGCCGAAGAAAGACTTGTTTGGTAATCTTCTATTCGGAAATGGCTTGGCATATTCACAACTTGCAGCATTAGCATTACCATTGCAAAAACCGAACACAAATACCATATCGGCATATTCACTGCTAGTATAAATGGAAGGCATAATGATGAGTACTCTGCGAAAGCCTCTTACAAACTGATTAATGTTATTGAGAGTTTCCAGTTTCAAATAGTATTAATCCTTATATTGACTATAGTTTTTATACAGTTAGTCCTTGGACCAATATTGTTTAATATATATATATGTCTGACCTACCTGAACATAACGACACAATACTGGCTACTTTTGCAGACGATGCCGCAGTACTAAGCTCAGATAAAAACCCTGTTCGAGCATCTACCATCCTTCAAAATCATCTGAACGATATTGCAGACTGGGCAACAAGGTGGAAAATTAAGATGAATGAAAAAAAAAGTGTGCACGTGGTATTCACTCTTAACCATAAACTTTCCCTGAAATATATTTTAATAACATTCAAATCCCAACATCAGATGTAATTAGGTATTTAGGTTTTTACCTGGACAAAAGACTTACTTGGAAGACTCACATCAGACAAAAACGAATAGAATTAAACAGACGATACGGTCTCTTATCCAGATTACTTGACAGACGTTCAAAATTATCTTTAACTAACAAACTAACCCTTTATAAAGTCTTACTTAAACCTATTTGGACTTACGGCATAGAACTGTGGGGCTCTGCTAAAACTTCCAACATTAAAAAAGTTCAGTCCTTTCAGTCAAAAGTGTTGCGAAGGATAGTTGACGCACCTTTTTATGTCGCAAATGACACACTACATAAAGACTTAAACGTACCTACAATTTTAGATACTGCAAAAGAGAACTACAATAACTTTCACCAAAGACTGACGTACAACATGAATCCTCTGACAGAAATCCTTCATCGTACAAGAAACCCGTACAGCCCACCACGACGATTACGTAGGCGTTGGCCAAGAAACCTGCTGATCTGATTTATATCCCGGACATGATGGGAAGCTGTGAAGCTGCTAAAAAATTTGCTTATTGCAAAGAAATTTGCAGATTGCAAATTTAATCTAATTTTTCACATTTTTGTTTGGTTAATAATAATAAAAAAAAATATACAGTTAGGGATAAAATGCCATATTATTATTTTATCTAATTCATCTCCTAAACAAAGCGTTTGCGATATACCTTCACTTTGAAAAACATTTAATATGAATGTTAACATTTAATCAAGAAAGTAGTAAAAACAAATAAATAGGTTTTATTTTATTTCATGTAACGTAAATAATTTATAACAACGGAAATGTTTAGGTGTGAATATCTCCTAAATAAAGCGTTTGCGGACATACCTTCAGAGGAAATTTTTGTTGTTGTTTTGACGTTCTTAGTTCATTATTGCCGTTTGGTCACTTAACCCTGAAACATGATAATCACGATAGCTCTTCGCACTAGCGATCTGTTTTCCGTAGTGTTGCCCGAATGCGAGACCAAGACGATTCTTGAGCTAGCAAACGCAATAGTGGTCTTGCGCAAAGTTCTCGTAACAGTCTTGCAGTTATTTATTAGCTTAATACTATAGATGTATAACTGTAATTTTTTAGATAAGAGAAATCTAACTAAACCCGAAAGGAAAATTGGAAGAGTTAAATGCATAAGTATATTAGTTCTACCAATTCTTTATTTAATTTTTATTTTTAAAAAATCGATTTTTTTACCGGCTGAAAAAAATTTATTTCCGAATAACTTAAAAAGTATACATTTTTATTGTACCCATGATTATTCGAAAGATAACTAAATCGCTAAAAAAAAAATTATAGTATTAATCATAGAATTCGGACCATTATTAGCTGAGATACAGCCTATAGTAAAAATATTTATGGTTTGGTTTATTATTGTGATTAAATTACAAAGATTTAACTGAGAAAAAAAAAGAAGGAATTGGAGATAGGTTTATTAGGAATAAAGGGATGTTGTGCCTGTCTGGACGTATTTAACAGTATTGCTAACGCATTGTGAGTTGAGAGACATTAACGCTAGTCCATTCATTACAATGAAAGATAGGTCAAAGAATATTCTGGTGCGGCGAGCATCACACAATTTTCAGTTACCATTTCTGCTCAATTGATCTGCCGCCAAAAGCTCAGAAAAAAAGAATTAATGACGAACAAGACAGATATTTAAAAAACGAAATAAAAAATTCTGAAAATTAACAGCAATAGGTTTGTTGTTTGTATATCATCATGTTGAATATTTACTAAGTAACACGAAATAATATGTTATTGAAAAATCCCTTAAATTATATTTTACGCAATGCCCCTCCCTTTTCTGTTTTTAGCCGGTTGCGCCTCTTCAATCATATCTCGTCAACAGGTCATTCAACAGGCCGAAGCAAGAGTCGATGAAACATGAGAGCACATCCTTCTGATCTGCATTCATCGAAGGCTTAGGAGAAATATTAGTCATCTAATAAAATTGTTTCCCTCACATTGAAGTGTGAAGTGAAACGGCATATTGCTATTGCTAGAGCATTAGGTGGTATGTAACTTTAGTCGGTTGTACGGACCCCTTTTTATGAAAATTATTAACATCAGTCAGAAAATTCGTAATCAGCTTCATCTCGTCGTAACCTATAAATATTTTATTTACGAAAACTTTCGGAATTGGAGCTTTTCCAACCTGGAGATCGTCAAACTTTGTATATTTGATTGATTTAATCATAAAATCGATAAAAAAAAGGTGCCCTACAAAAATATTAGTTCGTTTGGCCTACATAACCCCGTTATTTTGACAGTTTGGGAGTGTAGGTCATGCCAAATGGATCGATATTTTTGAAGGCCACGTTTTTCTTTGTGCTCAAATTTGTTTACAATTCTTGTGGAAGGCAAACCGATATTTACGAGTTTTTGGTACTTAATTAAATAGGCAATGTTTTCCGGCCTCTAAATAGAAAATTATCCAATTCCGAGTATTTTCTTTAATAAAATATTTGTAAGTTACAAGGAGATGAAGCTATTTACGAAGTTTTAAGCGGATTTTAATAATTTGACTACAAGGGGTCTACCACCAGAGGGGTACCACGGACTACTTTTTTACATTGTTATTTTCTTTGCGCTACAGGTTACGTTTTGTAGTCTGTAACTGTTAGAAGTAGTCAGCTAAATATCAAAATCAAATATGAAAATATACTAATAAATAATAAAGAAATAATATATTTTTATGCTCTTATAAAAACTCAATTTTTATGTTTATAAAAATTGACCTTTTTTACTAACATTAGCAATATTGTATATATACTTGTAACAGAGAGGTGGCATAATGTCGGTGGCAAAATCACAAGGGTGCAATATTCAAAGAAACATGATGCCTTAAATAGCATTATTACAAAAAAGAAAGGAGGTTGCGTAGATAATTGTGCAATTACAAGATAATTGAGTAGTTAAGTTTTAACAGGCTCCCTCGAAAATTGCAATCCCTCGGCTTTAGCAAATTAATACGTCTAATTATAGAGGTATTAGCTGTCCAAAACGGCAGTAATCCCCGACATCCGTAGGAGTCTGGGTAGAGCTCAAGATATGACTGAGGCCAAGCCGTGCCGCTATCACTACATCTCTGCGGCTCTCGACAAACAGCTGCCTTATCGACGGCTGCCTATTTTAGGATCTCGCAGAACATATCTCTGCCATCCGAGCCGTGCTGCGCCGCGCGATGTGGTTCGCTGCGGTGCGGCGTGGGCGTAGCGGCTGGCTCAACCTCCGGGTTTATTTATTACTTCCAATCTGACCGTTAATAGCCAGCGGCTCCCAGCTCCCACTATATCTTCTCATATAGTTAATTATACGTCTTAGGCTTAATTGAATGTTTTGATTCCGTTCTGGTAAACACACCGAAGGTATACACATGCACGCGAACTCACGCAGCTATGATATGTCTGTAATTTGTATTTATTTATATATTATCAAGAAAACAGAGATCATGAAGGCTGCTATATCTAATAATTAATAATTTTTTTTTCCTTTTTCTCGCCTAAAGGGTCATTGGCGTTTTCTATGATTTATACTCTGTTATAGTAGTTTACAATTTTTAAAAAAATTAACACGATTGAGTCTCATTCTTCATTGTCTTTTAGTATTTCGTTTAGTGTTTTTCCTAGTTCTATTTTTTCTCTGAGCCTTTCGAATTGGGAACATTCTACTAGAAGGTGTTTCACAGTTTGAGGTGTATTGTTACATTTCTCGCATGTAGGAGCTTCTAGGCCTCTTAAAAGATAGCTATGAGTGAACTGTGGGCGGGGTAGCCGAATGAGCTAAAGCGCGTGCAATGCACCGCCGTTGCCTGGCAACCTGACATATGAATTTAAAGATATAGAAATAGTCACGAGTTCGCGTCCCGGTGCCGGGGGAGTCTTTTAAATCCCCGCTCACACTCCCTGGCCCGGGAAAATCCCGTATAGCCTTAACGGCGAGGAAGGGAAGGACCAACAAAAAAAAAAAAAAAAAAGCTATGAGTGAACTGACAGTGCCCAATCCTTAGGCGGCACAGTATAATTTCTTCACGCCTGGACATTCTGTTGCTAGTGAGCCATTTATCGCAATTGGGTTTCACTTCTTTCAGCTTACACTCTTTGATCATCCACTCTTTTTCCCATTAATTAATTATATAAAATATATAATATATATATATATATATATATATATATATATATATATATATATATATATATTAATATAAAACGTTATATAATTACATAATTATATAATGTTTTTCTGCGAATAGTTTGGTTAATGATTAAAAACTTTAATGATAATAATACTGACTTATTTATAAAGCTTAAAATTATTTGTGAGGATAATAATAATATACCCTTCAGAAAAGTTCATTAATACTCTATGGTACAGACTAGTGATGGAAAAAACTGTTTACCATGAGTAGCAGTTGCAAAACAGTTTCTGCTACTTTAAGTAAACAGTTTAAAAAAACAGATATAACTGTTTCAAAACTTGTCAGGTGTATTAGAACTACTGAGCTAATCCTCAGCTGGTACGCCACAAGAATAACTTGTAGACGCCGGCGCCCCACGTTTCAGATAATAATTTTTTTTTTATATTTCTACAACTCTGTTATGTTTTATAGAACACGGTCATTTGGCCCGTGGCCATTAAAAACCAACCGGATAAAAGCTGGGTTATTTTTCATCATAGCTTATCGAATGTCGTGCTCTATTTTAGTCAGATTGGTTAGAATGTGTATTTAGAAGCGTTGAATAGAAATGTAAATAATGTAATATCTGCCAATTGATTTTGCCGAAATATGAATTTCCCTTTCTTTTTTTTCCCTTACTTATTCATTTCTTTTTTTATTTACGTTTTGGTTTTTTATTTTAAACAATAAAGGTAATGTAATCAATCATTTTTTTTTTGTCTATAAAATATGTATTTGCGTCTGTCAACAATAAGTTGACAATCAACAAATGTGATGGCGATAATGATATAATGACATGACAGGCATGGGGAAGGAAAGTACTCAGCAGTACCTCTACCCTAACTTGTTCCAATTACTTAGGTTGTCTAAGGAAGGAGATCCCTCATCCAACGCCTTTTTAGTCTCCTGCTCATGTTATGAGGTATGTCAGTTGTGGCCATGTCTCTTATAAGTCTGTTATTATGTCCATTTAAATTTGTGTGAAATCGTTGATGTAGGGTCGTTATATGTTGGTCAACTGTTGGAAAGTGGAGGTCAATATGTAGAGTTTTGTTAGTCCGTACCAAGGTGCTTTTGTTATGAGTCGCAATAATTTTGATTGGAACGTTTGAAGTTTTTGTAGGTGGGTCTTTTTAGCGATGCCGTATATTTGTGACGAGTATGCCCATATGGGCTTAAGTAAGTATGTATATGTATTCAGTTTCTGTTTTAGTTTTAGTTTTGAAGATTTGGCAAAAAGAGAGTAAAGTAGTTTGAGTCGTTTGTTAAGTGTCATGCGTTCATTTTAACATGTGGGCCCCATGTCATCCTTCTGTCGAAGGTGAGTCCAAGGTAAAGTATCGTGCCCGTTTGAGGAATTTGATTGTTGTCAATATAAACTGGAGGACTGGTGTATTTTCGAAGAGTAAATGTTATATGTTTGGATTTGTCATGATTAAGTCGAATTTTCCATTGTGTGAACCAATATTGTAGTTTAAGCAAATGATGTTGTAGAGTTAGTGAGGCCTGTGTAGGGTCTTGATGTTTAGTGAGGATTGT